AGATCAGGAGTTTAAGGCTAGCCTGGGCTATATGAGAGGTTGTCTAGAAACAGAAACCTTGATTTCCGATCTCGCTTTCCTTTCTCAAACGAACAGATGGACTTCACTCTGGTCATGGACAGCTGCGGACTCCAACCTCGCTTGTAAGCCCCGTAATTATTAAGAGCTTGAACTGGAGCTCAGTGGCAGAACGCTTGCCTAAGCACAAGGCCCCGTGTCTGGCCCTCAGAACTGCTTTGAAAAAACAGGGAAAGAAAAAGAAATTATTTTTAGAGACGGGAAGTAAAAGAAATGGCGTACTCCACAGGACCCAGAAACCCTACCAACTAAGTCTTATTTATTTTATTTTATTTTAGACAGGGTTTCATGTAATCCAGGTGGCCTCGACCTGTGCTTCAGCCTCTGGAGTGCTAGGATTACAGGCAAGGGTCACCACACCCTGTCTTATTTTTTTTTTAATGCAAACATCTAATGTTATGGAGACAGAACAGAACTCTGAGTCAATTCTGGAAAAGTCTGTACTATCAGCACAGGGAAATGTTTTTCCCCTCTTCTGCTGCAACAGAGTAAGCCAGGCTTTAAAAAAACACATATCCGCGTGTTCATTTTAAACAGAGATAACATCCTTCGGGAGCCTTCCACTTCCTGGTCTCTCTTCTTCCCTTACTTAGTAAGATAAAATTCACCCCCAGGAGTCTGATCCCTACTGAACCAGACTCAGAAAATGACGTCATTCAGACTTGCCAGAGCACTGCACTTTTAAGGGGATTTCAGGATTTCCAGTCACTGTTTCGGCTTGTTAGTTTGAGGTTGTTGTTGTTGTTTGGGATTCATTTTTTTTTGACATTTTTATATAAATGGAGCAATCAGACAACTGTCCAAATGCGCTTCTGCCTCCCTGAACACATTTGGCAGGGTGATGTTGATAGAGACTAGAGTGTTTCTTGTTCCTAATGAGATGAGATTCCAGGAAAGTGATAGAAAAGTCGAGTTCGAAACTAACTGCCGCTGTCTGCGTGTACACAGGTTTTCTGTCACCAAGTCCCTCATGGTACACTTTGTCAGTTCACACTGACCAGAGAGCAAATCTCAACCCCTAATAGGGCAGGCACACAGGGACACTAAGGTCACCCTACTTCCCAACACCAGGGGCCTCTTTTGCGAAGGCTAATCAGGCTTAATCAGGCAGTTCTGTAATCTGAGGCAGTTTTCAATTTAAATGGTCCGAAATCCAGGAATAATTAAGACAATGCCAGTGCACACCCATTCAAGGCAGCGACTGTGTGCGTCTTTGGGGAGGGACAAGAACTCTTGAGATCCAAAGACAGAAGCATCAGTGACTTACTAAGCCCCTCCTTGGCAGAAAGGAAAAATGTCCTAATTCATTCCTTTCTCGGGTGAGATCACGGTGCTGGGAGAAATGTAGATTTAAAAATTCCCCTCAAGTTCGAAAGTTTTCAAGGAACTGTTTATTTAAATCATTCATAACTGAGTTTATAAAGTAAGATAGAAATTGCCAAAGGACGCTGCTATCATTTTAGTTTAATCTGATAGTTGTGTAGTTACCGTTTCTTTTAGCCTTTGCTTGAACTCCGAGGGTTGGGGGCCTTTATCAATAACACAGTAGAATCCTCCGGTTGTTTTCTTTCTGTTAAATCTGTAACTGTATCCTGACTTTCTCTCTCTCACGACTTCTGAATGTTTACAACCTAAGGAAAGTCCTATTTCTCTAACTCAAAGCCTTTTTAACACACACACACACACACACACACACACACGAACCCCACATACCATAAAAAGCATTCCTATTTAAAATTAAAAACCCCAATGTCTAGAAATTTTCTTTGTAATTAAAAAAAAAGTTTCAGTTCAACTTGATTCCCTAACATCCAAAGTCAATGAATGTTTCCAAAAATTATGGCCCCCCAAATTATTTCAAACGCCTTCACGGGTGTATCTCCAGTTAAATGTTTCAAGTCTAAGGCAGATTTATTTTTCTCAGCTGCACCCAAGACCATTAAAATTGCTGCTGCCACCTCTCCCCCTTCACCAGCTACAATTATTTATCAAGGTAATTTCTGACTGTTACTTGGAAAAAAATTGAAAGGAAAAAAATTACATGTTATTTTCAAAAAAAAAAACAACTGCTTTAAACCAACATTTTGGAAGTGAAGGTGTGGGCTGGGGGCACCTTGTGTGCATTTTCTTCCTGGGTCCTAGTTGCCCCGTGAGAGGTGTTTGACTCCCCTATGGGAAGCTCGCTAGCATTCTAGTTGGTGAACTGTGCTCCCCTTTCTACACCCAGAATGACCTTCAGGCCACTCTTTAAGGTGATTTTTATCACACTCAGTCAGGAAGGGCCTAATAGGTGAGAAGCCATTTTCAGAGCAGAGCTTGCTACAGATGTCCTAAGAAAATCCTTGAGACACCATCTTTGAAAAAATATTTGAAGATTGTTCACTCGAGTAAATACTTAAGCCTGCCCTCCCTGGCTTTCTTGGGCCTGTAGCCATATTACTCAGCCTCAAAGAATTCATCAATATTCAACTGGCTCTCTTAATATGCTGATGTAGCAAAAGGAGTTTAATAAAGAAAGCTGTTGCCATTTTTCTTCAGAGGACCTGTCACAAATTCATCTTTCATCTTCCAGCGCTGGAATCTTCTGGTATTTATGTAGGAAAATTAATGTTTATGTGCAGGAATCCAAACAAACGGACCCACCAAGCCGAACCTTAAAAGCCCAAAGAAAGCCTCTTACCCCGAGGACTCGGGAACTGTATGAATGATTTTGCCGAGGACTTAGACGAGTGTTCAGTCACGTCTGACAAGCCGGCAAACTTTCAGTCCTCTCCACGCGTTATGAAGATATTAATAGAAAAAATTTGTAGGTCCTACTAGTAATGTTAAGTGCCCACCAAAACTATACACGTTATCCGTCGTGTTGGAAAAAAATTCCTGAAAAGAAAAGCTTGGTCTAGAAAATCTTTTTTGACTAATTTTTCTCGGCAGTTTTGCAGACCCTGGAAGACTCTGCCGTCCTGCCCTCTCGCCCCTCCCCCCCCAAAAAAAAACCGAAAATAAGCCCAAATCATCAGAATAAGGCCACACGATTCTAGCAACGCTTTGAAACTTTGCGATCGTCCTCGCAAAACTCAGTTTTCAGATCAGCCCTGAAGAACTATCGCAGTAAAATACAGAAGTACAGAGAGAGTTAAGCAGCGCAAGAAGCGGCAGCGCTGAGCAAGGCGGAATTCGTGATTTTAGTATCCGTCTGCTGTTTTCGCGCCTGCCAGCGTGTTTACCCGTTTTACGACTGCTTTCTGCCCCCCTCTTTTGACACCTGGTGCGTTTTGTTGCAGTTGCTCCAGCTCCCTCCTGACGTTCCAAACTATCCTTCACTCTTTCTACCCTCAGCGACAAAACTTCGGCTGTACTCTGGGAGCATGGAGGACCCCGCGGCCGCACCGCAGCTGCCAGGGTGACACTCAGCTGCTGGCGTTTCACGGACGTCCGGATGATCTCGGTAGTCTATGACGCCCCAGAACCCACTAAGTCCCAGACCAGACAAGAGGTGGCTGGAGTGGAGGTTTAGTCAAGAGCTGCCAACCAGGACAAGGGCCTCTCCCTCGGAGTCCCCAAGCAAATGCGCTAAGTAGTTCCTGTGTAGCGCCTTGCACCCAGCACTCCACCTGCCCCTGTGGCCCCTTCTGGTCATCTTCTGGTGCCCCAAGATATGTGGCTGATGCAGGCCAGTGATACCCGCTGCCCTTCCTGTTCAAATCCATCTGAGTTTACATCCCGCTCGCTCAAAGATTTGTACAACCCGGGAAAGGGGTAAAGAAAGAAGCCGAGTTTATGTTTAGCATCCAGGCGCTATTTTATAAGGGATTTCTCCCAGATTTTTTTGTGAGGCAGTCTCTCACATAGCTCAAACTGTCCTCGAACTTGTTATGTAGCCAAGGATGCTCTTAAACTTCTGTTTCTCCTGCTCCACCTCCCTAGTGCTGGGATCTCAGGCGTGCACCACCATGTTTGGTTTCTCCAGATTTGTGTTGTTATGACATTTTGCAAATATACAAGCAAGTCGCGAATATAGTACAATGAAAGGCTATTTCCTTCCCACCCAGAAGCAACATTGTTTGTTAGTTCGTGGCAATGCATTACCCCCTCTCTCTCTCTCTCTCTCTCTCTCTCTCTCTCTCTCTCTCTCTCTCTCTCTCTCTCTCTTCCCTCTGTGTGTGTGTGTGTGTGTGTGTGTGTGTGTGTGTGTGTGTGTCGGCGACATCATTTGAAAATCGTGGCCATCGTTACACTTCATCTCTCTAGCTTTGGCACGGACCTTGTCAGAATGTGGACACCCTGCTATTAACTTCAATACCATTCTCTCACCTCCCTAGTAAACAACGTCGTCCCTAAGGAAATCGACCATACAGAAGAAAGACTCCTTTTCTTTCCTCAGTCAAGACTCAAAACTTGTCATGAAGACTTCCCTTCTTGAGCTGGACATACATAAAAACTGTTGTTCCCTGCCTCGGTGTCATGCCCACCCACCACCCCCAAAGTGGACCGCCAGGACCTAAGGGAGTCCTCTACCTGAGGGAGAGTTTGGAAAGAGTAGTCAGAGCACAGAAGACCTACAGATCTGGGACACGAATGCACCCTGAGCACCCCCCTGCAGTTTGAGGGTCCCTTATTTCCCCCACCCCATTTCAGAACGCCCCCCAAGATAAACAATCCCAAGAGGTTTTGATTAGCCACTCTGTGCCCTGCTGGCAGCCCAGAGGACTAGTGAGAGCAGAGTGGCGTTTGTGTTCTGGGTCTTTCAGCTGAAGCTGAGCTACCTTGTGTCCTTGGTTTTGCTCTTTTTCCCCCTTTCCCCTTTCTCCTTTTTTTTTCTTCCAGAACCCGGGGCTATGAGGCTCTGGACGTGGCCACTGCAGGCTCCCCACGTCCTTCCCCAGCCCTTCCTGGCTGCAGGCCAAGGCTGTGGCGCTGAGCGCCTGCACGGCCTCACCCCCCCCTCCTTCCGCCCCCCGGGCCTCGGAACGGAGCGGGCGAATCGCTGGGAGGGGCGCGGAGCAGAGCCTGGCCACACCCCCCGGGCCGGCTTTTTCTAGGGCTGCGGCGAGCCACTGGGCGCTGGCTGCTCCCGCTCGCCTCTTGGGGTGCGCTCAGCTCCAGCCCAACTCCAGCCCGACTCCAGCCCGACTCCGGCCCGACTCCGGCCCGACTCCAGCCCGACTCCGGTCCGACTCCAGCCCGACTCCAGCCCGACTCCAGCCCGACTCCGGCCCGACTCCAGTCCGACTCCGGCCCTGCTCCGGCTCTGCTCCAGCCCGGATCCTGCCCTGCTCCAGCCTGGCTCCTTTTCTCCTCCGCCACGCCTCTCTGTGAGCTCCGCACCCCGACTCCCAGCTCCCAACTTTCGGTCCCTCTGTCGCTCAGCGTCCCGTACCCCCGTGACCTCGCGCCCTCCCAAGACCCTGTGCCCGATCTTCTACCCCCCTCAACCCCGCCACAGCCCTCCGCCCTTTCTCTCTCGCTCTCCGTCTGTCCGGACGTCAGTCGGTCTGTCTGTCCGCCTCCCCACCCTCCTTTTCCTTCCTCTGTCCCGCGTCTCTGGCTTGTTCGCTAGTTCGACTTGGCGGAGCAGCTTCGCAGGAAAATCCCAGAAACCATTGCAAAAAGCTTACAATGAAATTTAAGAAGTTCTACGATTTCGGCGCCATTTTCGAGTGGAGTGAGAGGTGACTTGCGATCTAAAAAAAAAAAAAGGAGGGGGAGGGGACTTTTAGGCTGACCTTTCCCGTCCCCCCCCCCCCCAACTATGAGGCTAGTCACTGCAGACTGTAACAGATGCGGGGATAATTCTGAAAAAAAAAAGTTTTGTGTCGCGCTGAGTGGAGGGTGGGGGTGGAAAGTGTGTTTGGGGGGGTCGGTGTGGGGAGAGGACAGAGTGTGCCCCGAGAACTCAGAAAATAGTCTGAGAAGAGTGAACGGGGAAGAGCAGAGAGAAAAGTGAGTGGGGGCGGTGGCCTGCTGTCAGCCTCGCCAGGGTGGGGAGCGACTGGTTTTGACAGACTATAAATGGACTTTAGGCGACTCTCATCTGTAAGCAGTAAAGACTGTCCTGGAAAGAAACGTAAAATTCACTTTACATTGTCCCTCCCTAACTAAAACTTTTTAAGGTTGTTTAAGCTCTTCCAGTATGAAACTCGACGTTGGAAAAGTTCGGCTCGAAGGTGCGGAGGACGTGTACACCGTGCGTTTTGGGTGTGGGGGCGCAAGGCATCTGCAACGTTAAAAGACGAGACGTTCTCAACTGTGAAGAGAGGAAGAGGCGTAGTCTTTGGCTCTTAAATCATTTGGCCAAACACGTCGCAGTTCTGAAGGGGGTGGGGCCAGGGCAACTCCAAAGTATTGATTCTTTGTCTTTTCTATTCAGCCAATGACCCTCTCTAGAAGTGACCAGACGCCTCTTTGTGTTCTCCTTTCGTAAGTAAAATTCAGCCCAAGGGGAAATATGTAAGCCAGGGGAGTGAGACAGCTTTTAAGGGATATAAGTCGTTGTAGTGTTACTGGGAGAAAAGAAATCGGTGAGGTAAAATATAGATGAATTTGGTTTCGGTGTGTTCGTTAACAAAATGATCTAGAAGGACGCTGATGTTACTTCTAATGAACTTACTTTTTTAAAAAAGTAATCAACTAAGGAAATGTTAAATTAGGATTGGCTTTAATCTATTATGTGATGACTCACATTTGTAGGGGTACATAAAATTAAAGTGGGAGAAAGTTATGTATCTTTAAAGTATAATTGTACCTTTACTAAACATGTTTTTTTTCTCTCTCCCCCTCTCTTTTTAAGGGCGACCATCAACGATTTTTTTCTCCATTATTCCGCCGTGTCCATGTAAAAATAATTTGTAATATAGCCAAGACAAGATGGAATTTAGAGACTCCAACTTAAGGAGTAGAGCTATTATTATTAATGGCTTTATTTATCATGACCTTATGGCTTTATTATTAGTGCATTTGTTAGCATTGGATCACAATCTGTTGTGTTAGGCATTTTGTACTTAGTTTAATTACATACTCTGTATATTTAATTAATCAATTAGTTAATAGGACCCAGCATTCATTGTACTAGTTTTGAATAACGGACATAATTTTAAATGAAAATACAGGAAGTTTGGTGAGGTTCAATCTCTGTTTATGTATACAGAATGTATTTTTACTTTCAAAGGCAGTATAGTTTTATTGTTTTAATTATTAGGCCTGTGGCTAAGGACCGACGGATTTTTTTTGTGTGTGTGCTTTCTTGAATGTTTTGTTTAAACAAAGGGAAATGAATGAATGTAACTTACTGCTCATGTGTCCATTTTGAGAGTCAAGAACGGGAGCGTGCACAGTGCCGGCCATTTCAAGACATGAGTTTCTGTGGAGTTGCTCGAGAAGGAACCATTTGACATCAAGTATTTAAAGTTGATTTGTGGTTTGATAAGTGACATTGACAAATGTAAAGTATTTGTGAATAAGTTTGAATAACCTGCAATGTATGAAAACATCTAGGGGTTTCATCTATAGAATATTCTCATGCTTAAAATCAACTAATGACAAGGTGTTTACTGTGAGAGTGGAGGAAACTATTAGACACGAGTTAAAACCAAAGGAGCTACCCACAGGGTTTTTTTTTTTTTAATCAAAAGTTCCTTGCATCAATTTCCAATAAATGACCCAAAACTGGGGACAATAAATGAGACTAATACAAGGCAGCAGGAACTTTCACGAAGACTTTGGAGCTGGCAAAAGTGATCCAGATGTTACCAAATTGTCTCAATTTATTTAATCTTACTTTTCATCTCCTTTCTGAGGTAAGAGTTACCCCCCACCCCATTATCCACCAATACACTTTTCCAATATTCATGATGAGGGTATGTGAAAGCCTTACCCTTCACCTCTCCAGCAGATCCTGAAGCAAGCAAAGTTCTAAGAAGTGCTATCTTATGAAAAGTCCATCAACCTGGAGTGATAGGTCCCCAGCAGCATACATTGTAGTTAATCCTCACCAGGGAGCAGGGCAAGGAGGGGCTCCTTCTACTCACAGAGACTTTCTTCATTCGCAGGTACCCCAGTGCGACCCCCACCCTCGTTGGCTCCGAAGGGATGCAGCAGCAATTCATGTTTTGGAGTATTGCAAAGGTTCAAAACATGAAGCGCTGCACCACCCCTTCGCGGGAAAAGTAGAAGGTGGGGGCCAGCAAAGCAGACCCCATGTGGGTTCTCCTAAAAACCCCAAAGCAGGTAGGTGGGAGGGCAGGGGCTTGCGGTCCATCCTTTCCCTGGGCAGGGCCTTAGTCTAGTGAGGGCCACTCTGCACTGTTCAAGGGCCTGGGAGGGGGTGACTGCCAAGCAAGCTGGCCATGCGCTTGGAGGAGGGACAAGGTATCCTGCACTCAGCCCACCACACTCAGTCGTGCCCTAGCAGCGGGAACAGTACTGCAGTGAGTGTTTGGTGCCCTGGAGTATTGCTTCCGCTGCCCGGGTAAGTCTGGGACTTGCATATGGGCACACCTACCCACCAGGTAAGTTAACGTCTGTCGCCTGCAGCATAGGCCCCAATGGGAGCCAGGCCCCCAGAACAGCTCCAGACCAGAGCTTTCGTGTTTGTTGTCCGCGAAGCACTTGCCCCTCTGTGATTATGTGACTGGGTGTGACAGAAACTGTTGTTAGCACCTCATTCCCTGCCCAGGTAAAACTGAACCCATTGGAAAGGAAGCACTTCCAGACAACCTAGTAGAATACCACCCCCAGGACAGCAATGAAGAAAGTCTGCCTTCAGTCCTCAACAAAACGGGGAAGGGCTCTCCCGAAAAGGATTAAGAAGGGGTGCAAAGATGGCCAGGAAGGGTGACTTGAAGCAATCCCTATTTCTCTCTGCAGTTTCTACCCATAGAGCTTAGCCCCCTGTAGAAAGGACGTTAGAGGTCAAGAAAGATTAAGGGTCCCACAGCTGTGCTGGGGGCGGCGGGGGGGGGGCAGCATCGGTGGATCTCCGGCATCAAAAAAAAAAATACCTAGAGGCACATAGCCTTGCTGGTGGTGAACCTCAGGTGGCGCAGTGAGGAGCAGAGGCCTACGGAAGCCTCGAAGTGTTTCTAGACCGCTTTTGTCCCCATTTCCCAAAGTCACCACACAAACCTACGCTGACAGCAGGGACTCAAGGACACCCTCGCCCTTAGAAGCTCTGAGAAAATAGCAAGCAGCATCAGAGCTGTGTATTCCAAGTCCCTTTGTGACCCCCCCCCAAACTCTGTGCTGTGACTAATGATCATGGCACCTCTGTAGCCCACTCTCATGCCACCTCCACTCCCTTGAGGAGCCCTCTGAGCCCTCAATGAGAAAGGGGGTTCAGAGTCACCTGGGAACTGGAGAAGAGTGAATTACCTGAGCACGGCCTTACTTTTCCTGTGAACATCACTTTATATGACCTAGAGCACCGGCATATTGGAAAATGTAGTGGGAATGGAATCTCTCTGCTTTGTCATCTTAAAAAAAATATAATAAAATACGCATACACACACCCTTCTGGTCTCTATGAGCTACCTTGTAGTGGTCTTCCCCAGGGACTGGGTACAGGGCCCCATAAAATTTACAGTTGGAGGAGGCCTTGTGCGCCTGGGAGTCTAGCTCTAGCCACCGAATGCCTTTCTCCCAGACTCCCTTGCGCTTGAGCAATGTGTGGGAGGTGGTTTAGGTTCCTTTGGGCCCCCAAGGACCCCCAGGCTCCCAGGAGCACCAAGAGCTCTTGGGACTTCAGCCAATCCCGGTCCCCATAACCCCCTCCATTTGTTGAAGCCACGCCCCCAGCTCCTACCCCACCCCGCCCCGTGGCAGGGCCCCTCTGTCCCGGAATCCCCAGGGCAAATGGCTAACAGGTTCAGACTCCCGCGTTCCGCCACATTGGGTTGGAGGAGGGGCACTTTGAGACTCCTTACTCTCCCTCACCAGCTTCCCTTCTCCATTTCTGCTGTCCAACAGGCTTTTCCCTTTCGCCAGAGGAAGAGCACCGGGGTGCACTGAAGGTGCTCCATCCAAAAGGATCTGGCCCGCGTCATCCGGCTCCTTCCAGCGGGTGCCCGCAGGACACAGGTGAGATTCAGGCGGATTAGGGGTTTAAAATGGCAGAGAGCAGGGGAGCAAATGATCCGATTTAGTGCCATTGCCTTCCAAAATCTAAGATGTCCTTTGCCCAGGGATGCCAAAGCTGAGCTCATCTGCATAGCGCCTGGCTGCGTGGTGCCCTTTTCTGGTTTGCAATGTTCTTCACACCTTTATTTGCTCAGTTGTGGAGAGCCTAGATTTTCTTCCAAGGGCAAAAATGTGAATAAAGCAATGTTTTAGCCAAACACTTCCATGTCAATTAAGAAGATGGCAATTCGTTCCGGACTATAAATTCTCTTTAACCACTCCCGAAGGTATTCTTTTCAATTGTTTTTTTTTTTCAAGCATTGCTAAATGCGCATCATAATGCGGGAGACTTTCTAAAGTGATTCAATTTACAGTCGGCTGATTAATTGATCCTCCACCACCACATTCAAAGAGACACCTCTCCATTGTTTTCTCATTTTTTTTTTACCCAACACATGTTATTTGTTAGTGAGGAAGCTGTGTGCACGTGGCATTGTATAAAGTTTATTAGGCAGACATGGCTCTTAAAACTATAAAAGGCTGAGCCTGATTCTAACTCTAAACTTCGACATTTCTGTAAGCGGTAGGACGTGGCATTCAGGTTATTATGATATACTGGAATGGAACATAATTTTGCAACAATTTTCATAACAGGAATAATTCCAAAGGCATCTTCAGTTAGCAGTACTGGTTTTGTTTTGTTTTGTTTTGTTTTGTTTTTTGTTTTTTGTTTTTTCCAACAAGGGAACACTACATCAACAGTCTTGGGGATGTGGACCCAGAAGACTTCTGTTTGAAGAAAGTACAATCATCTTTCAAATGCTGTAATTTATATGCATTTTACTACACTAACTATTGAAAACTCCCCAACTAGGGGGTTAAAATATAATCAATCACTAGTGTAATAGTACACGTCTTTTAAAAATGTTCCTGGAAAGTGTTTTATGATCTGTAAGTCAAAGGATCCGGTCCCACCATTTCATTCTTCCTGCTTTTACCCCCAACCTAGGCCCCCCCCCCCAAATTTGTTCCAGTTGGCATGTAAGCTTGTTTTCCCACCAAATGAGTCAGTCATGATGGGAGCGTCAATTGATTTGAACAGATGTGTGTCAGTGTTACTTGGAAAAACTAGATGTCAATAACCAGGGCCACAGCAAAAGGCAGTAGGTGTAACTCTGTAAAGCATTTCTGCGTGCACACAGACAAGGACAAAAGTAGACTCCTAAAAGGGAAAACATTTGGATATACTCCAGGGCTGGGAGACTAAATAATTGTATGTTGCTTTTGGTTTCCATTAACTTGGGCAACTATCCAATTAAACAAAAGCCCAAGAAGGACTCGGCGGTGCACATTATTTTGCCGAGTATTCTAAAACACCATAATTTGTCAGTCCATCGAGGAAGCGAGAACAACAAGGGACTGGGTTTACTCCTCGAATCTTGGAGAAAACATGATTCTTCAGGAAGCGAACTGACAGGCAGCTTTCACTTGAGACCATGTAGCATGCAAAATACAAATAGATTCAAAAAGTATAGTTGAGGAAGATCAATGAATGTGCATTGCTGGAGACTGAAGGACCTGAGCTGGGGACTATATCAAGCTGACATTAATTTCTAGAGATCTAGTTTCCCATTGGCCAGAAGCACGTCTCGTGATCCCAGAAGTTTATATGTTCATCTTTATTTAGGCTTATTGCATAACTCTTAAACAAAACACAGTACGTATACACCAATCATATCAAATATGTATCTCCCTGGCTCAGTACGGCCTGGCCTGACTATGCCCACCCATTAGTATCTGTTCACCTAGCTAGGATCCCCTTGCTCCGTCCTAATATTTTACCCATCTGCTTCCCTTCCTGGCTTCACAATTGATCTCCTCAAGTTCAAAAGGCCTTAGAGCCCAGTGGGGACCTTAAGCTGCGTCATTAGGGAGGAGCTTCTACAGACTTACACTTCCTGTGGTCCCTCAGCCTTAGATCACTCCCCTTAAGCATCATCTGAGCAATTGATGGAAACTGAAGAGGGGGCCCTGGCCCCAAGTCAGGGGGCTGGGAATACTGCTTGCTTTGCAGCCTGAATTTCCTGAGACATTGCCTTGGCTGGGCGTTTGCTGCCCCTCCCCCACCTCCTCTCTGTAGCGAGAAAACCAGCTTTTTGGGCCCTAGAAACAAAATCTTTGCAATCCTCATCTCAGCACTTGCCCGTATTTCCTTTGCTCACCTACTTTCCCACCCGCTCTCCTAGATGCGTCGTTTGCAACAACTTTGAGATAAGACACCCGGGGATTCTGAAGATGAGGGATGTATGGGAGCCTAGGTACCGAGACCTCAGCATCCAGACTTCCTGCTGTGCCAGGTAACATCCCTACCTGATCATCAGAAACCTACACCACAGTGACTACAACAGAAAAAGGAGGGAACT